TTTGACTTTCGCTTAAGTGCATCATTCACACTTTGTTTGCCATCCATCTAACCCAGCTGTCTGCCTACCCGCAGCCATCCCTGTCGCCAACTTTTTGGTGCATGCATAAAACATTTGCCTTCTTTTTCATTCATTTGAATTGAAAAGCTTCTCGCAGCGATTTGTTATGCAAGTTTAGAAAACAAACAGAAAAAAATACAAAAAAAAAAAGAGCATCCATAACGAAACCTGACGCTCAAAATTTGTTGAATGCCTTTCCTGCATCTCATTTCTGCATCTTGCATTTACTTGCCTCCATGCTCTTTTTTGTGAGCATTTCTTTCCTTTTTTTTTGTTTGTTTGTTATCAACTTTGTTGCTGCTGTAAAATGTAATTGCATATGCAGCCACGCTTCAAAGCGCCCATAAAAGGAGCCGCATCAGGCGGCAAGGTTGGGAGTCGTCAGTTTTCAGTTGCCAGCTGGCAGTCGGAAAAGCTCCCAGTGCAGCAGCAAACAATTTTTTGCAATACCCTATACTGTATAGAAATTAGAGTAGACTTTTAAAGATGTTTCCATGGGTTAAACTGTGAATAGAACACCATCCCGGTCATAAGTATATACCATTAAATTCTCGATATTTTTTAATGGGATATGAGCTCATATTTTTGTGTAGCTTCTTTTGCAAAGTTGATTTAAAGTTATACATTAAATAAGATTACAAGGTATCTTCTAATCATATTCTGTTTCATTTATATACATTTAATATTTCTGTCTCCATGTCTGGTTGAGTTTATGTGGTTATTTGTCCTACTTTTGAATTTTTGGCTGGGTTTTTCGTTTAAAAAACTTGCGATGAGTGCAAAAATGGAAACATTCAAAAATGCCTTCAATATATTTTCTTATTTAACTTACAAGGCAGATAATACTGCAAAAACGTAATAAAATTATTTAGTATAATTGTTGTTGGAATTTACAGACTTAATTCTTACTTTCATCAGCTTTATGGGTTTTGGTGTCGAGTCTCCTCTAGTCTTTAATCAGTATAGTTCAGTTAACTTTTACTTTGCACGCAGAGAATCCGCATTTAAGTCGTTTAATATGCCATACCCTAGTCAGATCCTACTATATGCATATCCACTACAACTCTTCAACACATTTTCCCATTTTATAAAAAAGGACCCCTTCGATGCTCGCCCCACTTCAGTTCACTATTCCATGCGCGCACATCGAACCACTTTCAGCTCCAAAGCCGCTTCTCTATCCTTAACTTTAAAAAAAAAACAACAACAACAATTTGTTGTTGTTTGTCGTGTTATCATTGCCATTCGAGGGGGTGTGTGTGCGAGTCAAAACTATTTTTGAAATGTTTTAAGCGATTTTACCAAAGTATTTAATCCTTTGAATGTTTTATTGCTTAGATAGTGTTTACCCTGCTGCACTGGGTTTTTGGGATATCATTGCCAACATCGCCAGCTGGGTGAACAGGGAGCGAGACCATATAAATGTTTATATGAAATGTATGCGGCTTCCCGTAATACCCGCGCGCATAGTTTCAACTAAAAATATTTGTTAAAAAAGTCAAAACAAACAGCGAACTGAAATCTCTAAATAATAAATTTGTAACGAGAAAAACAAATTTCAACGTTGCATTTAAAAACTTGTTCATTGTCATGTTGTTTGGGTTTGGTTGGGTTTTTACATATACTATACATATTTTTTGTCTATGGATAATAGCAAACCTTTGCTTTTTGCTCCTTTTGGACATGAGCTGGTCATTTATGTGTGTTTGTAATTTTCGATGTTATTTGAGTCTTTGATAAATGCCTGGCTATGACCCACTTATCTGTATAGTTCCTCCTATACAAAGGGAACTTTTCTTATTCCCTCTGAGATTCAATTGTAGACTCTCAAGCTGGACTTTATTTAGCTGTTATTAAGCTCGATACTTTACGAACTTTTACACCAATTTTTACCAAGATTCAATAAAAAAATATTTAGACAAACACAAAAAATAGAGTTGATACTTACGCTGTACTTTTTTCGTTACTTGACGCTTGTAATTCCCAGCAAGTTAAAGCTTTGGCGGGAAGCAAAGGCGTTTGTAAACCTGATAATAGACGTGGAGGTGTTTTGTGTTTATAACTTTTTGTTTGTTGGTTATCATAAAAATACAAAATGAAAATATTATGTTAATTGTCATAAGTCCTGTAAAACATTATTTTGAGCAACAAGTGCCCAACACTATCCGCACGAGTACACATTTGTCCCCCATCATAACATTCTTCCATTGGTTGGCCATCCAACTATTTTTAAAATCAATCTCGATATTAATACCTTGTTAAACACAGCTGCAATTTCGTGAACTTATCCGATGTATTTATGGGCCCAACTGTTATATACATAAATTTAGTGCTCACATGGCCCGGGGGGGCTGTCCGTAATTGGGCTTAAAATGTACTCGTACTTGTCTATGGGATTATGTTTTAATATTGTACGTTATTCAATATGTGTGCATTTGCCATCGGCAGGCGAATGCATAAAAATAAACGAACCGATCGCTTTGGTGGCCCTCTTTAAATTACTTTTCCTACATTCTTTTTATGAGTACACAAATTGTTGCCGCACTGTTGATTTATTTAAATGCTTTTTACCGCTGAATGCTACGTGTCAAAATATGAAAATTAAAATATCAACGCACGTTGAAAAATCCAACAATCCAACAATTTTATGGGCGATTTTAATGGCAGCGCATTTATTCAATGGCGCATTTCCAATAGCCGCCAGCTTAACGGAGGCAGATTTTTGGCTCTATTTTTTTGTTGCTTTTAATCCTTTGATGCATTTACAAGTGATGGCATAATTTATACAGCTCGAGATTTTTTGTATCTGGCAGCAAGTATATGGTAAATGGTAATCAATATATATTTTGGGTGCCAGGCTAAGCTAATACATCTAGCCTTTTCTGCAATGAAATAAATCTGTTTTAATGTTATCTGAACTGTCCTGCCTAGACATATCTTTAATTTTAACCCCTTTCCTCTAACTCAAACTGAAACTATTGCCTACCCAACTCATAAATAACATTGGATTCCTCTGCAAGTCAAAATTCGCGACTAATTAAATTCCACAAAACGCGCCGCAAAACCATGCCGACTTTGAAGTTAAGGTCAACCGGTTCGTGGTATACAAAACGAACCACTTCAGAACTTCGAACTGCCACTATATATATATATACCCTAAGCTCATTGAAAATGTGGAAAAAGGGTATAATGTTTTTGTGCAATGTATGTAACAGGCAAAAGGAAGCAGCTCCAAACCCATAAAGTAGTATATATACACTTGACGAGCTGAGACTAAATATCAGAGACTGCAAAAGATAGGGACTTTTAAAATAAGTATATTCTGGTTGTTCAAGCATATCTAAACAATTATAAAGGCTAGATACCCCACCCTTGGTATGTTGTTTATCGTGTAGTACACAAAGATTAAAAACATTTCACTTTTTGACCGCCATTCTCCGCTTAAAGTGGGACCCTTCGCTTTGATATATACATACTTTTCTATAAGAATTTTAAACCCTACACGTTGTATAAAGATCGGACTATAAACACCGAAGTTAGTTAGAAGAGGATTTCTCTAAGGATGTGGCAAAGGGAAAAAGAAGCAGGCGTTGTATACAGTGTATAGCTTGCCTGCTGTATGTGCATATGCGTGTTTTTGTGCAAGAATGCATTGAAGGCATAAGAAAGCAGCTGGCATGTATTTGTAAGGGCAGCTTATGGCTGTGGCGTTCAGACTATCTAGTCGGGCACTCCCTGCTTGGGCCCGATTACTTGTGCGATGTTGACATTGTTGGCTGCCAGGCATTTCTTCTAATTGTATCTCTTGAAAATATGTATATAAATATTTGAAATATTTCTTTTTAATTGTACAAAGTCGAAAAGTTTATTTAAAGCCTTTTTGGCATAATTACCGAAGAGCAGAAAAAAACAGCAAGCGCTCATTGATGCGAGCTGTTGTTGCTGCATCATCGAGTGGTTGCCACTGTTGCGACTTCCTGCTCGTGGCAGACCAGGCTGCTGTTGCGCAGGGTTGAGGCCATCGGCTGTTGGCTGTTGCATATTCAACAGCTCCGTCAGGCAAAAATATTACATAATTATACAAAGTAAGGCAAACACAACAGAAGCAGCGACTCCTCAAGGACTGACTGACTGGCGTTTTGGTGTTTGATGACCCTGTTTATGAATACGTTAGCATTAATTAACTTTGATTTAATTAAACGTGCTGGGGCCAGGACGAGCGAGTGAGGACCAGGACCAGGACCACGACCAGGACCCAACACGGTCACTTTCAAGGCGCAAGACCCCGCCTCAACTCGACTTGGCTTGAGTTGGCTTCTGTTTGTGCCTTCTGCTATGACTGCTTCTTGTTAATCTTTTAACCAGTCGCTGGCGCGTTGCGCCTTTTGCGGTTTGGCGCCACAGTTGGCAGCCAAAGCAGCGAACTGGAAGAACAGCCAACACGGAGCTTCTCAAAAGAGACCTGCGCCACGGCTGATTCTTCTTTTTCTGTTTTTTTTTTTTGTGCTTTGTCTTGGCACTCTTCATGTGGAAAATCCTTTTTGCCTATTTACGTGGCCTTAACAAGTCAACACCGAAGGCGTTGTACGAGCCACCTTCTGTGCCGCACTTCGTTGTCTTTTGGCTAAGCCTTAATGTTCTTTGCATAGGGTTATTGCTATATTTAGATTATTAGGACTGTATGAGGGTACGATTACAGTAGATAATTCATTTTCATTTATATACATTTATATAACTTTTCTTAACTTTTGCGAAGGAAACGGACTGAACTATTGGTTCACAGACGTTTTACTTATTTCTTACTTATTATTTATGAAATTAACTCAGATTCGGAATTCGGCTTACATCAAGAAAACTGTCTATTGGTTGTCTTCTTTGTATCCCACATTCATATGTAAGCTTTCGAAGGTCAAGCACAGCTCTATAAATATTGTTTCCAGTTGCAGATTACATGCCATCATCGACAAGTGATTCTGAGATGCTTTATAAGGATTTTCACAGAAATTAATCTTCAAAAATTAAAATAACTAAAAGAGTTTGAAGAGACTGAAGCTTATTTTCGAATCCAAAGTGACCGCTAGGAATATTCAACCTAGGAATATAGAACTTGAAGCATGCTTACGAGATGGAAACGCTTTAAAAACTTAATGTCTGCCACTTTCAGGTGATTTTCGTTTTTAGGGCTGCATTTTCTATGGGTCTGTTTATATATCCAATTCTCTGGATTTCATTTCATATGCACTTTGATTGTGCTGTTATCTCCCTCTCTCTTTCTTATTTTCTATCGTTCTTATTTTGCCACTCTTGTACTTTTGTGTATATTTTGCGGGCTGCTTTCATAAATTAATTAATTGGCCTGCGGCTGGTCAACAACGGCAACAGGCAAATAAATAAGCAAAAATATTTGCTTTAATTTATGTGGCAAGTGGCACAGAGTACTGGATACCCACTCCAACTAAAACCGAGACTGAAAGTGAGACCGTGAGTCCGACTGCGACTGCGAATGCGACTGGAATTGGAACCCTTTGGCCTAGTTACTGGCACCCAACCTGCCCGTGCCTGCCTACTCGCCAGTCCACCGACTGTCCGCCTGCGCCTGATGCCATTTACAAATTGCATTAGATTAAAGCGCGATAAAACGCGGGACGCGTTCACTTGGCATGATTTCGACTTATTTGCACTTACAAAAAGGCCAACAGAAACGGTGGAAGTGGTGGGAGGAGTGGAGGCTTGTTGGTGTAGAAATACGGGCTGGTAATATTTCCACGCCTTGCACATTTTATAAAAGTCGGCCCTGTGGACGCTCTCCGAACGGGGCATGTAGAACATGGTTAATTAGCAATTAATGAAGCGATAATGAAGCCAAGATAAACGACAAAACACCAACGTCGGCGTCGGCGACGACGATGATGATGATGACGATCATGATGATGATAATGATGATGATGACGATGACAACGAGGCTGTTGACGTGGCACAAAGGGGCCCAGACGAGGGAAGCAGCCGCCGTTTGATGCTGTCGAAGACTTTGGCAGGCCCAGGCCGGGACCGAGACCGAGGCCGAGCTTGTGGTTGCCGCTGCTGAATCTGTGATTGTGTGCGTGTGTGTGTGTGTGTTGGATCCACCAACGGCCTTGACGAGGATTCCGCTTGGAGGATGCGGATAAGCGGGAGCTGCCTGTTGGCTTGGCTTATTATACATTTTTGTTTTGTATATTTTAGGCAGCTGCTGGGCATAAGCAGCTTCATTTGTTGTTGCTTTTTATTTTTTGCTAGCCAGCCGTAAAATAAAATGTGATTTTTTAAGGGTCTCACTCCCTACGTATGTGTGTTGTATGTGTGTGTGGCTTGTGCGCGCGAAATTGTATCATTTCCTTGGAAAAAAACATTTTGTTTTCAGGTTAATTAGTTTCCCGGCGCTGGGCATGAAAGTTTCCTGTCACTTGCAGTGGCAAAAGGCGTTGCCAATTAGATTGCTCTGAAGGTTAGAAACTGGTCGCTGGACACTTGGTTATGGACCCACAGCCAATAGATAGACGAATGGCCTTGGCCAGCAGCTTGTTGTTTAAGTGGAGCAGCCTTTAGATACATCAATAATTTTTGAAGGCTTTAAAGGGGATTTTTGAAAAAAAAACAAATAAAAAAGGATACTATATTTCGGAATATAGTTCGAATTGTGATTACTTCTTTTTAAATTTTCTGTAAGTTGATTGTTCAACTACAATTCTAGTCTATATTCATAAAAGAGTTTGGCCTAACTGACTGTTGATTAATGCACAGACCAAATTTTATAGACTCGAAAGCTCCAAGTTGTACTGAAGCTTCCTTTTGGCTCGAAAGTGAACAAGTAAGCGAGGTTTTGACAAATACTACCATCAAGAAGGGGTGCTCAAAGTTTATATGGAAATTATAAAAAACACATTTTAGGCTTTGCGAAAGTAACGCCTTTCTGGCTATCAAGTCTAAGCCTCCGACTAACTAGCGTGAGGTCGCCGGTACAAATCATTTGCAGCTGTTTCAGTCTGTCGAACTTCTGGCGCATTTATTCTAGAAAATTATAAATAACCTATAAGTTAAAGTCAAGTTGCATATGACTCGCTCTAAGTGTAAGGTTACATATTTCATAGATGTACCCCGATATATCTCTTCCTCCTCTTATATCTCTTCCACTTATCAAATCCGCCAAAACATACAGTTAGTACCTATTTTTCTATGTATTTACTATCGTGCCATCATATTAGCTTCCAATTCTTTCTGCAAACGTGGCTCTTAAATCTGTTGGCAGCACAATCTTTCTGCCACACTCAAACATAGAAGACAACTCTGGCAAATCTGCTGGTTTCCCCTGCTTTATGACAGCGGCGGCAATTGCAATTGCAACTGCAAGAGCAATCCCAAAATGCGATCTAATTTTCATGTTATTTGATAGAAAACTCTTGTAGGTATCCGTCGTTGTTCAGTTGCTTTGTGCAGTCATGCCAAGAATTTATCACACAGCCGCAACTTTAGTACAGGGCAAAAGAGGGGTCTGGCCTGGGTAACATCGTCTTGGATAGGATGCTGTCTGTGTATTACCAACGCCACCTCCACCGCCACCGCCAGAGCCATCTCTTTGAATATTATCAAAAATGGTGTATCTGAAGCTGAAGCTTCCTGAATCTCATATCGGGCATGGCAAACATGTTCAAAGTTGTTGTTGTCGTTACCCGTGGATGCTTCACTGGCGATCGTAACAACAGCAACTGTTGCTGTAGCTGTTGCTTGGCTGCTGCTGCTGCTGCTGTTGCTATTGCTGGCGCTGTACGAGATTAAACAATGATTGCATTTTCATTTGCATTTTAAGTCACGGTGCAAGCAAAACCAAAGCATAAGAAGTCGAGGGTCGGGATCTCACTTGGCAAGTGTTGTTGCTGCTGCTGTTGTTGTTGTTGCAACAATTTCTGTTGCCATTGGAGATGGGCGCATATCGAATATTTTCAACAATCTTTCATTATTGTTAAAGCCACTTATTCGATTTTATTTAACTAAGTCACGATTTAAAGTAAGGATTTTGCAGCACGAACACTTGTATTGTTAGGTCGTGCGTGTTCGTGTCACGTCACCATCTCTAGCTGCAATTGCAGCTGCCTTTTTACTGCTTGACTTCTTGGGGGCCGAGAAACGGGTTTGCCAAAACTAAACACATGCCGCCAGCGTCGCCTGGCTAAGATTGAAATGCAAATCAGTTAATGGTGTTCCTGATGCTGTTGCACTGTTGCACTGTGGCAAGGGCAAACACCATTCATTGGAGCTGATGTACGTGTCTGTCTGCCTGCTCGCCGCCTGCTGCCTGCCAGCCTGCTGCTGTTGTTATTTCTACATACATATATAATTGGCTTGGCTGCGGCCAACTTGAATTGCTTCCTGGCCACATCCTGGCGCATACCGTATGACCCATAACTTAAATGGCCAAAATGCTTGGCTTTAATGTCGCCTTCACGCTCATAAAAATGAAAATTTGTGCGACAGATTTTCGGCAAGCGACCAAAACACAAAAAATAAAAGAAGAAACTCAACGCTAATCTTTGTCATGTAACAGCTGCTCTTTTTTCCCCTCACCCACGAAATGCCACTACTTTGCTCTGTTGTTGGGTACCGCCCACTCATCTCGATTACGAGGTGTAAATTTACTGGAGCACATAAAGCCATTTGGCGAGAGTGGCGCTCTCTAATCCCCTGCCCATGCCCCAGCTCAAAAGCCAATTCATATATTTACCGTTTTGCCAAGCGACTTTGTGGGGCGCATTATCCAGTAAGCTTTTTGGACATTCGATGCTAGGGACCATCATCATCATCATTAACATCCTGATCATCATCATGTGAGTGGGGTAAAGCTTTATAAATTTTGATGTTATGCGGATTGGTGGCACATTTTGGTAGCAAATCAACGTGTTGCTGCTATTGGGTTTTCGTTTAGTTTGTTAAATGATGTAGATACCCCATGTGTGCTGCAACAGTCCCTACTACTAGTGTTGATTAAAGAACTCTCCAGAGTTGGCTTTGATTAAGCGAGGTGTATTCAGTTGAATGCAGCTGGTCACAAGTGTGCAAGGAAAGCTCTGAGTGCATCAATAGAGTTTAAATTAAGTACTTCAGAAAGGCAACAGATGATAAGCAGTTATAAGAAGTTGAACTAAATGAAAAAGCTCAAGTCCATTCAATATTTGAATAAGGAATTGTGATTAGTTGCACATGATTTTAAATTTAAATTATTCAGACGATTTCTTTAGGTTTTTAATTTATTTACTTATTTTATTGTTATTGCTTTTTAGTTGCGAACAACAACAAATTATAACAATAAACAAATAAAATAAAGCAATTGGAAAATTGGAAAACTTCTGCTGAATTTGAACCGGCGACTTCTCCCATGCCAGTTCAACGCTCAGCCTCACAGACTACGTTGTGTTTGATGTTTTGATATCGAATCTAGAAAATGGTATATAATCTTATAATATATATTTATTTTGCTTTCAAATAGATGGGAAAATAATTGTGGAAGGGCAATTCCCTTAATAACGCCCAGATCTTTTAAAACATACCATCCGTGATAATATTTTATTTTCGGATTTCGCTTTTAAAGGTCTTAGCATTTAAGAGGTGTTCCCTGCCTTGTAGGTGTCGAACGTATACAATTTCCTGACTTATATATTTGTACACACACCCCGGCACTTTCAATTTTTTGCAATTTCCTGAAAAATGTAAGCTGCTTGCAACGTTTGGATTCCAGCTCAAAAGTTTTTGCTAGCGCGCCACCAAAGTTGCTTCTTCCCTGCAAAAGTAAACACGCTCCACACGTTGCCCAGCATCAATAATAATGGCAACAGCAACAACAACGTCTAGTCTATGTTAAACAATCTATAAAATACAATCACTTTCAACAGGGAAAAATCAACAAACACAGGCACAAGCACAGGCAGTTCGGTCTGCCCTTTAAATCATGTTCAGATCGTACGCGGCGAGCAAAAAACGTGCCTAGATCTCGACTCTCCTTGGTCCTCTCTCTAGTAGCTACGTGTAATTTTTCTCCATATATATTTATATA